GGAACTGTTACTTGTTGCCTTTATTCAAGTAAAGAGAGTTTTGATTAACCACTTCAAGTCCGGACACTTTCACCCCCTTCCTGTCCAGGCCAACTTTCAGCTTTCAGTGCTATCACACTTTGAATGACAATTGCACGGTCATGCAACACTGTACCCATATGAATTTTTCAGCATTTTTTTGAGACAGATAAAGCTTTATTTTGGTATTTATTCACCACTGGGATTTTTATTTTTTTTTGCTATGTAAATGAAAAAGTCCAAACATTTTGAAAAAAGGTGTTTTTTTTCCTATACAATTTTGCAAATAAATAATATTTCTTCATAAATCTTGGCCAAAATGTATTCAGTTATCTTTTTAGTAAACAAAAAAAAATAACCCAAATTAGTTTATAACCAAAAATAATTATAATTTCACATTTTTTTTTACATTTTTATCTGTTTTTCTATATTATTATGTTTTTTTTTTTTTTACATACTGTCACCCTAACAGTACAGTGTAACCATGGTGACACTGTACTACTTGTGGGGGGTGATGAAGATTTTTTTTTTACACTCATTGCTTTTACACCCATAAAGGCTGTAAAAGCAATCATTTCTCCTTCTCTCTGGCTGCATTCTTGCAGCCATTGAGAAATACTGTGTGAGCTGTGATTGGTCACAGTTTGTCACATGGTACAAGGCTGTTGTGATACATGTGACCTCTGTGATCATTCACAGATTTCACACGTAGCAAGCAATGATGTCAGAAGTGACATCTTGCTTACTACTCTGCATGTGCTCACTGATTGGCCAATCAGTGATCACATGATCGGGACCTCGCACAGAGGTCCTGTATGACGATCTGTGTTCTACTGTGTCCAGAGGACACAGCGGGCACTGGATCGCGGTGCTGCACGCTCCCAGGGATCGCGCACAGTCCAAAATGGCGGGCGCCGTTTATGAACGGCAACCCTCCTCTGGACTGCCACCGTCCGGCCGTTTATATACAGCGGCCGGATGGGAAGTGGTTAACTAAAAATGACTGGTTGGAGTTACTCTGAACAGAAAGTGGAAGTGAGGTCCTTCAGTGAATGGGGATATTAATCTCAGGGTGATGGAGAGCCAGTGGTAAAATGGAGGAGCAGCCAACTCGTTGACGGAGGGTCCATCAGAGGGTTGGACTGTTGGCTGTATGGTCTACTCTTTTAAATGGCAGGGTCCCTGTATTAGGGCCTACTGCATAAAGGAACACTCCTATAGACTGCACCTGGACCATGGATATGCAAGGACTCATGAAGTATACAACAGCTTCCCTTTATGCCTTTGGACTGAAGTGTAGTGTGATGTGTAATGTGTAAAAAGGCTGGTGGAGGAAAATCGGTGTTCAATGCTATTTCACTCAAAATAACTGTAGTTAGTGCTGGGATAAGTGGCCCTGGCAAGTGATAAAAAAAGTTCCCAGTTCTGGACCGGGCATAGTAGTTTTGGCCTCTGGTCATGAGGGGCACTGACTCACACACTGAAGCAATTCCATCATGCTAGCACTTCACCTAAGTAATTTTTTTAACTTGACAGTGCATAGTTTTCACATGATGCTAGTAGATTTCTCAATCAGGCTCAGTTTCTAAATTTATGTATCTTCTGAGCATGAAAGAAGCACACAGACATGTCCCTCTGAAAACAGTTTGCCTGAATACGGTTATTTTTGCATAGTTACATTGGTCCAACCTGGAAAAAGTAACCATATTCCATACCTAGCTGACTCCTGTGGAAGCTTAGAATCACTGTAGCAGCCACCACCACAGTGATCCTTGCTGTCTTCCAGATCGCATACCATGCAGCTGCCCTCCTGCATAGTGAACACAGGGGGTCACTCACTTGGCACAGACACCATTTAGAGAATGGTTTGCATTTCTCAATGAAAGCAAAGCATTATCTGATTGGAGCAGGTGCAGAGGTGGAAAGGTGACTTCATGATGTCCACCTTGACCAATCAGAAAATGCCTTGCTGTCATTGAGAATTACAATGTGTTTTCTGAATGGCACCTGTGTAGTGAGCAACCACCTGTGTTTTCTGTGCAGAAGGGCAGCTGCTCAGCATGGGATTTGGAAGACATTACAGTGTTACTAAACCCAGAACCCTGCATTCCCACAAAACACAGAACATGGAAATGCAATTAATGGTTAATCTTGTAGGAGGGGTTTTCGTTCTGCTCTGACTGTCCTATGAGGCTATATGACCCCTGATATACAAAAAAATATCCTAACCAGAAGATAAAGCCCCCTGGGTAGGCGAAGAGGTTACATTACCGACAAACAAGGCTTTTGCCTTTTTTTAAAAGCCTTGTTTGCCGGTAATGTAACCTCTTCGCCTGCCCAGGGGGCTTTATCTTCTTCTGGTTAGGATATTTTTTTTTGTATGCTAGTTTTGGTTATTCCGGCAACACTTAACAAGTGAGTAGGCTAAACTGATTATAAGTAACCCTCTTTTCTGTTTTTCTTTAAATAATACATGCCCCCTAACCCTCTGTCTGGACAGTGTTGATTGGCCCTGTGCTGATCACATGCACGCTCCCAAAGGAAAAAAATCTCTCTAACCATACACACTAAACTGAGCATGTGCAGAGTGACTCCTAGGGCTCTGTACTATCAGCAGATGGATTATATGAAAAATATACCTGGAATTCAGCTTTAATGAATCCTGTTATACACAGGAAAACAAAAAAAGGCAAAGCTGAAATAAAGTTCCTCTGTCTCATTTCTATATAAAGTGTTATACAGGTCAGGGGCGGACTGACCATTTGGAAACTCGGGTAGTGCCTGAGGGCCCGGGGTCAGTAGGGGGCCCCATGAGATGCCCCTGGTACCTTTTTCATAGGCTTTTTTTTTAGTTTGGACAAGGATACAGGGGCCCTATTGCCCGGGGGCCCCATGAGTTGTCAGTCTGCCCCTGATACAGGTACAATACATTTTGTAAAATTCTAAATAAACCGGTCTAAAATATTCCCATTTATGGCTATCTAATTATAGGATTAATCTGTAGAGAAAGTTTCGGAACATTAGCTAGCTGAAGCCTTGTCATCACCAGCCAGCATAAATGGAATAAGTAAACACTGGTAAACATTTACACTGCGGTCTGTCAATAGCACAGAAGTAATACGCATAGTCTTTGCATACTGGGTATAAAAGCGCTTTTGTAAAACACACACAGATGTAAACACTTTTGCCCTATGGCTAAGCAGCAGAATACAATAAACTACCTTGCCACAGGATGGCCTCGCTAAATAAACAAATTACCAGCATACAAGCCTTTGAAAAGCAGAAAGGGTATAAAAAGGAAAAGAAAAATGTCACTATGGTGATCACTTACAACATAAATTATATGGTGACCATTGTGGCATGGGCCGCAGTATTACTTGGTTATATTTGGAGCAATTTCCAATAAATATATAGCTCTTTATATCCAGCGGATTTAGGAATACATTGGAGTCTATATAAACAGATATTTTTAATGGCCATTTTTACACAACAAAATACAGTATCTTAGGGCTCGTTCACACTAGGCTGTTTTGCCAACGCTTGCCAAACGCCCCTATAACGTTTGGCAAGCGTTGGTCCGGTGTTTGCGGAGCGTTTTTAATGCTCAGCAAACGCTCCGCAAACGCCGCATGCGCGGTTTAGCGGCGGTTGCTAGGCGTTTGCCGAGCGTTAATAACGCCCCACAAACGCCTATAATGCATTTGAGTGGTGTTACCGCTCCGCAAACGCCCCGCAACCGCACCGCAAACGCCGGCCGGGCGTTTGCGGAGCGGCACCATAGACGAGAATAGGAGGCTTCAAAGCCTCCTGACTCGACCAGAGGCGTCCGTTTTGCCGCGACGCAAACGCTCCTGTTAGAACAGCACCATGTGCTGTAATGTGCAGAATTGGCAGAGGCGTTTGGGAAGCAGTAAAAACGCTTCCCAAACGCCTCTCTGCCACCTGCACACAAGGCTAGTGTGAACGTAGCCTTACTGAAGTAAAGACTGGCTGAAGCAGACACTGAATGAATGAGAACCTGACTGTGTCCCAGTTTTCACATTCTTACGTTTTTCAGTAAACTGCGATCACCTACTGCAGCTTACCCAGCTTTTGTAATGCTTGCACTAAACTATTTTATTGACTGCAGAAAGACCAAGAAACCTTGAGGCGTTTTCAGGTCATTTTTAAAGATTCTTCTGTGCATTATTTTTTCACAACCTTGCATTTTTGAAATGTTTATCATGTGTGTTCAAGCTTCAGGAATGTTAGTTTTAGTCACGGAACAGCAGTGTTATCTGTGGCATCATATACAGTACTTCCTGGTCTTGTGGTGTCTTTGCTATTACAGCTCTTGAGCCATGTCCGCTATGCCAGTTTCTTCTCAGGCCCCTTACCGCTTACCACGGTTCTTGTCACTGGGGTCACAGAGGTTCTTCTGGGCTCTCACCAGATGGATGAAAGTTTCCACATCCAACATGGGCACTCCTGAATCCCCTACTTTGTTCACTGGCCTGAAGTTGCTAGAAAGAGAAAAGCAGTGGTTGGGTCCCCCACAAAATGCAAAAATACGGTAAAATATCTGAGTCACAAATTTTCAAGTGCTGTCATTAAAGTCTATGGGACCAAAACATGAAATTCTGCCAGAAAAAGCTTATGTATCGAATATAATGGGAATTTTCATGTTGAGCATTATCGTGCTCTCTGGATATGAGCAACAGATCGCTCAGGTGTGAATTGGAGTGAAGGGTAAAGGTTAAAATTGTGAATTAACCACTTGCCAGCCACCCTATAGTAGAACTACTGCTACAGGGCGGCAGGGCTGCCACAAAATTGTGTGTGTGTGTGTGTACACAAATATGATTTTGTGCAGCCCTGCCACCCTGTAGCAGTAGTTCTACTATAGGGTGTCGGGCAAGCGGTTAATTCACAATTTTAAACTTTACCCTTTATATATATTATACAGGATTTATATAGCACCAACAGTTTGCACAGCACTTTACAAAATGAAGGTAGCCATTACAGTTACAATCAGGGGCGGACTGACAACTCATGGGGCCCCCGGGCAATAGGGGATCATGGGGCCCCTGTGTCCTTGCCCAAACTCAAAAAAGCCTATGAAAAAGGTACCAGGGGCATCTCACGGGGCCCCCTACTGACCCCGGGCCCTCAGCAGTGCCCGAGTTTCCAAATGGTCAGTCCACCCTTGGTTACAATACAATTTTGTACAAGAGGAAACAGAGGGCCCTGCTCGTTAGAGCTTATATATATATACATACATACATGATTTGCATTTCCAGGTCGGGGGGGCGCGCACCCTACCCATGCCGCCACCACTAGGGATGTCAATCACCGGAGATTCCCAGCCGGCACCCACAGATCGCCGAGTAGCTGACAGGGAGAGACCTGTGTGTAAACAACAGCACACAGTTAACCCTATGAGTCTTCAGTGTCATTAGTACAGTATCAGTGCTTTTTATTAACACTGTTCACTGTATTAGGCTACGTTCACACTAGCGTTGTGTGCAGGCGGCAGAGAGGCGTTTTTACCTCTTCCCAAATGCCTCTGCCAATTCTGCACATTACAGCACATGGTGCTGTTCTAATGGGAGCATTTGCGTCGCGGCAAAACGGACGCCTCTGGTCGAGTCAGGAGGAGTTGAAGCCTCCTATTCTAGTCTATGGTGCCGCTCCGCAAACGCCCAGCCGGCGTTTGCGGTGCGGTTGCGACGCGGTAACACCACTCAAACTGCATTATAGGCGTTTGTGGGGCGTTATTAACGCTCAGCGAACACCTAGCAACCGCCGCTAAACCACGCATGCGGCATTTGCGGAGCATTTGCCTAGCGTTAAAAAACGCTCCGCAAACGCCGGAGCAAGGCTTGCCAAACGCTATAGGGGCATTTGGCAAGCGTTGGTAAAACAGTCAAGTGTGAACGAGCCCTTAGTGTCACTGGGCAGATCAGTGGCAGTTAGTCAGTTCTCACCCAGTGTCAGAATGCCCACGACAGTCCCACTATAAGTCGCTGATCACCGCCATTACTAGTATAAAAATTAAAATTCCAGTATATATACCACCATTTTGTAGACACTATAACTTTCATGTAAACCAATTAATTTACATGTATTGGGCTTTTTATTTTAGCAAAGACATGTAGCAGAATACATTTTGGCCTAAATTTATGAAGAAATTTGATTTTTTAAATTTTTTTATTGGATATGTTTTATAGCAAAAAGTAAAAAAAATAGTTGTTTTTTTTTCTTCAAAATTGTAAGTATTTTTTTGTTTATAGCGCAAAAAAAAAAACCACAGAGGTGATCAAATACCACCAAAGGAAAGCCCTATATGTGGCAAAAAAGGACGTAAATGTCATTTGGGAGCACTGTTGCATGTCCACGCAATTGTCCTTTAAAGTAACGCAGTGCCGTATCACAAAAAATGGCCTGGTCAGGAAGGGGGTAAATCTTGGGGAGGGCAAGTGGGTAAACACAGACAGTAGTGCAGGTCATAGACGTGGGGAAAATCGGCCGGTTTTTTTTTTAAAAATCGTAAATCGGTTGTTCAGACGGCCGACATTGCCACTAATTAAAACAAAATGTCAGCGGGTTTTAGTCCCGTCTATGGCCGTCAATTAATATAATAGCGGTGTCTCTGCAAAGAGACCTGCTATTATATTTGACAGAAGAAATAGATTATGCAGAAGAAGAAGAGAAACAACATTGTATCTATTTGTACTTGAATAGAAACATCTGTATCCGAAATGCATACAAATAGATACAATGTTGCAACTTTTTTTCTTCTCCGTCTTCTTCTGCAAAATCTATTTCATCTTCTCCTCTTTTCTTCTATTCTTCTTCTTGATATTCTATTTCTTCTTCTCCTGCAAAATCTATTTCTTCTATTACTTCTTTTTTTTCATAGTCAATTTATTGTCAAATCGTCCAGAAGAACGGCCGATTTGACCATAAATTACTGCGAAAATCGGCCGATCTAACAAATCATCCCAGGATTTTCCAGCTTGGACAATTTTCAAAATCTCTTAAAATTAAGAAAAACGTCCGACATTTTTCCCCACTAACGGTACAAATATCGGCCGATTTTTTTATCGGCCGATAATTCGGCAAGAAAATTGGAAATCTATGGCCTGCATAGGTGGTTGATCTACTAAAGCAAATACTGTAGGCTGTTCACTTTACTTTGCAAAGGCAATTGCCCCGAGGCTGATTGAATGTGGTGAAGTTTTACTTTGCAAAGGATCCCCAATCACATGCAGGAAAAATAAAAAAATAGTATTTTGCCTGCACATGATTGGATGATGGAAGTCGGCAGACCTTCACTTCATTCACTCTAGAGCAAATGGCCTTGCAAAGCACACCTTCCCTTGCAGTCTATTTTCCTTTAGCAAGTAAACCCCAGTATCTACACCCTGTTCCAAATTATTATGCAAATTCTATTTAAGTGTCACAAAGATGAAATAATTTGTTTTTCAGTTTAACTCATGGATGGCATTGTGTGTCAGGGCTCTTTTGATCACTGAAAACAATCTCAGACACCTGTGATAATTAGATTGGCAGGTGAGCCCAATTTAAGGAAAAACTACTAAAGGAGGGTGTTCCACATTATTAAGCAGAGCACCATTTTCAAGCAATATGGGGAAGAAAAAGGATCTCTCTGCTGCCGAAAAGAGTGAAATAGTTCAATGCCTTGGACGAGGTATGAAAACATTAGATATTTCATGAAAACCTAAGCGTGATCATCGCACTATTAAGAGATTTGTGGCTGATTCAGAGCACAGATGGGTTCGTGCAGATAAAGGCACATTGAGGAAGATTTCTGCCAGATCCATGCATCGGATCAAGAGAGCAGCTGCTAAAATACCATTACATAGCAGCAAACAGATATCTGAAGCTGCTGGTGCCTCTGGAATCCCACGGACATCAAGGTGTAGAGTCCTCCAGAGTCTTGCAACTGTGCATAAACCTTCTATTCGGCCACCACTAACCAATGCTCACAAGCAGAAGTGGCTGCATTGGGCAGAAAATACATGAAGACTAATTTTCAAACAGCCCTGTTCACTGATGAGTGCCGTGCAACCCTGGATGGTCCAGATGGATGGAGTAGTGGATGGTTGGTGGACGGCCACCCTGTTCCAACAAGGCTGTGATGTCAGCAAGGCGGTGGTGGAGTCATGTTTTGGGCCGGAATTATGGGAATAGAGCTGGTCGGCCCCTTTAGGGTCCCCGAAGGTGTAAAGATGACCTCTGCAAAGTATGTGGAGTTTATGACTGACCACTTTCTTCCCTGGTACAGAAGGAAGAACTATGCTTTCCATAATAAAATCATCTTCATGCATGACAATGCACCATCTCATGCTGCAAAGAATACCTCTGCATCAATGGCTGCTATGAGGATAAAACGGAGAGAAAGTCATGGTGGTGCCTCCATCCTCCCCTGACCTCAATCCTATTGAGAACCTTTGGAGCATCCTCAAGCAAAAGATCTATGAGGGTAGGAGGCAGTTTACATCCAAAACAGCAGCTCTGGGAGGCTATTCTGACATCTTGCAAACAAATTCAAGAAGAAACTGTCCAAAACTCACAAGTTCAATGGATGTAAGACTTGTGAAGCTGCTATCAAATAAGGGGTCCTATGTTAAAATGTAACGTGATCTGTTAAAATGTTTAAAAAGTTAAAATGTTGTTTAAAGTTTGATTGAAATAGCTTTTGATTTCAGTAAATATGCTGCAAACACAACAAATGACAATTTTCAGTTCTTTATAACCTATAAAGTGTTTTGAAACTTACTGTGGGTAATAATTTGGAACAGTGCATTGTAAGTGTTTTATGTTTAAAAAAAAATACTGTTATCATTAGGAGGTTTGTTCAATAAAATTTGAATTGTACTCTTAATAGTTGATAACATGAGAATTATGCTGACTGTTATTTACATCAATTATTTAGGTAAATGAGAAAAATATAATTTGCATAATAATTTGAAACGGTGTATATCAATGATGGTATGCTTAGCAATTTTTTGTCTAAGGCTTGTTTACACTTTGCTACACACTAAGATGCTGTGGTTTAGCATCTGGACCACTGTTCCTGTGAAGTCCAGTGAGGGACCATGCAGTGCACTTTTTTTCAGTGCATCGCACTGTTTCTTTAAAAATAAAACAATTTTTAAGTGTCACAAACTGTCACTTCATTGAAGTATGTACGCTGCAGCGCATTGTGCTGCAGTGTGGTCACAAGTGGTGTTGTGCGATGTGCTGCAGCACGTCCACATTTTTTGCAGGCCACCACACTGCACATCACTGTTTTGTTCTGGTGTGAACGGGGCATAGAAGAAACAATTGCTTTCTTTGTACCCTTAACCACTTGCCCTCCTGAGGATTTACCCCCCTTAAAGACCAGGCCTCTTTTTGCTACTCGGCGCTGCACTAATTCAACTAATAATTGCGCGGTCATGCAATGCTGCTTCCAAACAAAATTTACGTCCTTTGATCACCTGTGCACTTTTTATTTTTCACGCTATAAACAAAAAAAGACCAAAAATTTTGAAGAAAAATGATATTTTTTACTTTCAGCTATAAAAAATATATAGTAAACTCAAAGTTAGTTATAAATTTAGGCCAAAATGCATTCTGCTCCATGTTTTTGGTAAAAAAAAAATCCTAATATGTGTATATTGATTGCTTTGTGTGAAAGTTATAGTGTCTACAAACTATGGTATAGATACTGCAATTTACACCCTTTTTTTGCTATACAGCACTGCGCTAGTTTAACGGACAATTGCGCGGTCATGCAATCCCCACAAATTGAGCTTTCTTTCGGTGGTATTTGATCGCCTGTGCGTTTTTTTTTTTTTTTTTGTGCTATAAAAAAAAAGGCTGACAATTTTGAGGAAAAAAACAATATTTTGGACTTTTTGCTATGAAACATGTCCAGTAAAAAAAAATGTAAAAATCAAATTTAGTCATTTCTGCCAAAATGCATTCTGCGACATGTCTTGCTACAAAAAACCAATACGTGTAAATTAATTGGTTTACGTGAAAGTTATAGCGTTTACAAATGGCGGGAAAGATACTGGGATTTTTAATTGTTTTTTTGAAAACACACGTTTTTAAAACGTGGTTTCGCCCAGCCATGCCGCCCTGCCGCCATATTTCTACAGTGGCTGGGCGGCATGTGGTTAAATATCATGCCGGGGGGTCCCTTAA